ATATCCCTATTTTTATATGGTTTAAGTGAGCTTTATTTTCTAGGTTAATAATTTACAACTTTAGATATTTTTCATATCTATCCACAAACTGTTTTCTAAGGAAGTAAACAGGGTGAAAAGTCAAGTTCTAAGTCTCAGAATGTTAATGTATTCATTAACTCAAATCAGTAGAAACTTTTTCAACACTGCCTTTAAAAAGTAAAAGAAGATTAGCAAAAACTCTTTAAGCCAGCCATGTAGCCTGGAGACCTTTATTTTGAATTTTGAGAGGTTACAAATACCACATTTAATTTGTTGGGTTTCATGGGCACACCCAACATTTCAGTATGTTGTGTTCTGCTTGCCTGAGATAATCACTGGGGTGTCCTAACAGGTGGATATCTGGTCACTTGGGATCATGGTGATAGAAATGATTGATGGGGAGCCTCCATACTTCAACGAGCCCCCACTCCAGGCGATGCAGAGGATCCGGGACAGTTTACCTCCAAGAGTGAAAGACCTACACAAGGTATGAAGTGGTATCTGTTCCCAAAATTCCAAACAGATCTAGAATTTATCAGTCACTTGGTGGTTTAATGAGTAGCATGTTTCATCTAGGCAGTAGATGCTGCCTTTGGAATTAGAGTCACTTGGATTCAAATTTCTGCTCTCTTTAATCCACTGGGCAAGTAATTCAGCCTCTCTGACTTTGAAGTTTACATCTGTATAATGGGAATAGGAATAGCTCCTCTCTCCTTAGAAGACTAAACCAAGCACTCCACACAGTTCATTGAACTCCAGTTGCATGCTGTGTCCTGCTCTAATTATTGAGGTATTGCAGCACAAAACCCCAGAGTCCCTGAATTTCCTAGAGCTTAAATTTCACTTGAGAAGGTAGATAATAAATTATGAACAAATAAATGAATAATATACTTCCATAGAGTGTAAAGCATATAAAGAAAATAAAACTCTGAGAACGCTGTGGTGTGATGGGAGTGTACAGGGGGAGGAGGGAAGAAGCTAGTCTAGGTTGAAGAGAAAAGAAAGACTTTTCCGAGAAGGAATTATTAACCATATGAAAACGGAGCCAGCCGTGTAAAGGTCTAGGAGAAGAATGTTCTAGGCAGAAGGAACAGCAAGTGCAAAGGCTGTAGTCAAGAATAAAGGCCTATGTGGGCTGGAGCAATGTCAGAAAGTTAGGTAATGGCTAAGTCAGTCAAGTCAGTTAAGGCCATCATTAGAGTCATGCATATAAAGCACCAAGTCATATCTCTCCTGTTTTCCCAAGACTTCCAACTAGAACCAAGCTCAGGAAGAGGGAAAAAACATGCTCAAGAATCACCACTGTGGAAATGGCTAGCTCCTTGTAATACTTGCTGAGAGTGTCCACTACAGACTCAGTAGCATAGATAGGGACTCATACTCCCATCTCCTCTCTCATCAGCATCATGATGATGAGAGAGAATGTGAGGCTGCCTTCTGGGGCAGAGTCCTTGGCAATAATATAATCTCCTTTACCCTCACTCTTAAATCTGAGAGTAGAGCTCAATAAAATCATCCACAAAGAGTGTGAATACTTGCAAAAAATATAAAAAGAGACTGTTTCAACCAAACAGTAAATTGAAATTTAAACCGATTTGGGCTATGTTTAATAATGAAAATAGACAAAAAAAAAATGTGCTACCAAAACAGACCCATACCCAAGAGAATCACATGTTGATGTTCTTCAAAGCCATGTACAAGAAGGCTCTTAGCAGTTTTCATTATAACGGCCCATGAGGTAGAAACCTCCCCAAGGATGTTCCCAAATGAAGAAATAACTCATGGTAGATTTCAGCCATGAATAGTATACAGCAATGAAAAAGGATAAAACTCTTGCCACATACATCCGGGATGAATCTCACAGATCTAATGTTTAACAAAAGAAGTAAGCAAGAAATGAGTTCACATTATATAACGCTGTTTCTCTAAAGTGCAAACACAGGCAAGACTCACTTATGCTATTAAAAGTTGACAGAGTGAGGGCCTATTCCTCAGAGCCTAGATGGTTGCCGTTATTAAAAAAATAAAACAACCTCATGTTTATATCACACTTCATAACTCATAAAAACATGGGTGTGACTATGCCTGTACATAGTGAGCACCCCATAATTGTTGTTGTTATCGTCAGTATATGGAGTACTTAGGTGGTGCAAACTGTTAATGTGATTGGCTGCTAACACGAAAGTTGGAAGTTTGAATCCACCCAGGGCATTTTGGATGCATCACAACCTACTTCTGAAAAATTAGCCATTGAAACACCTGGGATAGCCTTGATTTGGAGTCAACTCAGTGCCAACTGGTTTGAGTGGCTTTTTATTATAATTATTAACATTACCACTAGAATTTTATTTAGTGAACAGGTTTTTATTCTAGGCTTAGCCCTCTTATTTCAAACTTGATGAAGGTAAGAAAACTACCATGTGTTTTTAAAGGCTTCGGTTTGCATATCTTTCTCCCCAAGGTAACTGTCTAGAAATTGATGTTGTTGATAGAATGACTTTCCTCGAACCTGCCTGAGAAACCATATTTAGAGACCTGGGTCGGGTTCTGTGTTAGACCTTAGGCTGACATTTTTTTGTTTTGTCAGGTTTCTTCAGTGCTGCGGGGCTTCCTAGACCTGATGTTGGTGAGGGAGCCTTCTCAAAGAGCTACAGCCCAGGAACTCCTTGGACATCCATTCTTGAAACTGGCAGGCCCACCATCTTGCATCGTTCCCCTCATGAGGCAATATAGGCATCACTGAGCAGAGAATTCATGCAGATGGAAAGGTTAGATAAGGACATGAGACTAATTCAGGAGAACATTAGGAACTCATGGATCAGTGCACGCAGGAGGCCTGTGCATTCTAGACCAGCTGATTGGTGGGACAGTGCGATGACCGGCAGGGTTTGACAGACCAGGGCATCTTCTTGTGTCTTAAATAGGCATCTCTCCACTGAAACTGGCGAGGTCATTCGAAGCACGGCTTTTCTAAGTCATTACATTTTTCAATCCTTCATACAGCAAATCAGAAGGACTCAGTACAAACTCCATTATAATATATCCTAGCCACATGCAGGGTAATGCGTAAGATTTTCTATTTCAAATGAATACTTTTCTGGCAAAAAAAAAAAGAAGAAAGAAAGGAAACTAAAAAGCACTTTTTTCTTAATGGTAGCAGTGTAATGTATTTTGCAATGAATTTGTAATTTTTCTGTACGATAGTTTTGATAATTTATAGTACTTTGATGTCACGTAGCTATTGTATCAGTTGAAGTAAAACTTGTTTCATAGCAGGAGTTTGAACAAAGCCTTTCCTACTTTTTTAATCCCTTTCAGAGAACCAAGGATTCTTTAGAACTTTGAATACTGAATGAATCTCTCAATCACCGTCAGCTTTAGTAGCCTCTTTCTGAGTTTAACAAGTGTCTTATATGATGGAAGAAGAATTAAGAGTGATGGTGATGGTGGTGCACATTTCATTTATCCAACCAAAAACTAATCTAATAAAATTTACACCACACTATACCACCAAACTACTCCTTGGAATCAAGCTAAGTAATTTGAAAAAAAAAAAAAAAAAAATTGTCTTTTTCTTCAAGGTTATTGACAGCAAACCATTTGTTGCATAGCAGGATGCTCCCCCTAGTGCCCTTTTTCAAATGGGTATAGTGTTCCCTTGTGGCCAAATTCCCTTTTCAAGGAGCGATTTAAGTGCTAGGATCATTGGACTTAGTTCCCCAAATTGAATGTTTCAAAGAAGCCGTGAAAATCCCAGACTCGTAAAAGGAAAGGAGGGAGAATGGGGCAAGATGTTTGGTTTCGTTTGTTGCTGTTTTAAAACTGTATGCTAGCACACCAAACTCTTGTCTGTATTTAGCTTTGTACCACAGTATTAATCGCTATTGTTCATGTATTGTGCTGGAAGTCTGAACTGACACTAGAGAATGATTTACCAAGAGGGTATTTTACCAGGTATGATCTGACTTCAGTTGTGACCATGTTTAATGTGTTTCTGACATAGGAGCGTTGTGCTGCTGTCTAGATCTTCTTGAATGTTGATAAAAATGAATGACTACTACAATACATTTTGTGTTGCTTGTTGGATGAATTTGCATGTTAACTGTAGGCCAGTATAGATTTGCCTTTAAAACTCTGGAAGAACTACATAGTCATCATTAGGTTCTATTAATTATGCATCAAACAAAAGCCATTTTTACCAAACTGGAAAACTAGAGGCTTCTCTTAATGACTTGACATACTGTTAAAAATACAAATTTAAATTTGTGAACATGCTCTGGTTGCTCTAAGCATAATTAAGAATTTTTGTAATTAATAGGTTGCTAATTATTTATTATAGTTAAAAAGGGGAGAAAAAGGCAGAAAATGACCTTCTACTGATTAGATTTTCAGTTTTTCCCCCAAACTGGAAATGCCTCACCATAAATAGGATCTATAATTTTGTTTCTTAAAATTCAGCAGATCAAGGTTTTATGTAAAATATTAAAAAATGGGTATAGAAATGTAATCAGAACAATCTAAAGACAGAAAATTGCAGTTCTAAAAGTTCATGAAACAGATGAAAATAATTAAAACAGGACTATGTAGAAGACGAAAGAAAAGGAAAATTTTTTAACTGGGACAAATATCAATAACTGTTGTAGAAAATGGTGGATTTTGGATTCCAAACATTTTTGACAGTGTACTGGAAATTTTTCTGTAATTTTCTTATCACTGGGTATTTTTTAAGGTATTCACTGAGTTTAACAAAACTTACTGTAGCTTACAAAGATTTGTGAGCACTACCTATTGGCAGAAAATGCACTTGCAAATAAAAATAAATGTTTGCCTTTTCCCTCACTGTATTATTGGAAACTTCGGTGATTTGTTAATTTTTTTTTTTTTTTAATTAAAGAAAGTTCCCTTTTATGACCCTGAGAAATGCAAGTGAGCTGGTATGAAATTACATACAGCGTCATGATGATACAAAACAATAATAGGTATTTCCACCCATAAATAGTGCACGACAACACTATTGAAAATAAAATGAGTCAATTCTAGACTGCCAAACTCAAGGAAAGGCAGATTCATGGCTAGAGTCCCATTCCATCTACTTGTTCTAAAGGTGCTGAACTGATCAGCAAACATCTAACAACAAAGGGCATAAAAAAGGACCTGGGTTAGAGAAGGCATGGTTGGAGGACTCTCTGGTACCCTAGAAAACAGTGTTGGATTCTTTTTATTCTTTGGATACCAAGGAACAAATGAACATGTATCTTTGAAGTTGAGGAGACATTTGTATATGGAAATCCCATTTCTTACATTGTGATTTCTGAAGGTGAAAACCCTCAGGAAATAGTCTAAAAATTCAACATGTGAAAGAGCGTATATTTTGTGTGCCAGGGAAGAGATAGTTGGGACAACACGTGCACACATAGATCTCCACAGCCTTTGGAGGGCATGAATGGAAATCAGGTTCCCCTGGCTGGATGGAGTATGGAGAAGGAATAAAGCAGCATGGGGCTAAATCAAATGAACCATTTAATCAAATAATGGAATGCCCGATCCAGAGAATGCATTAGAAGGATGAACTGCTGGGGGGAATTAAAGCATTATCTGACTGATTTTCTGCAGTGAGTGGGGTCCTCTCAATTGAGGGGTCTGGATGGAACTGAACCTTATTCTGAAAAGCAAATATATCATCTACACAAAGACCAATCTCAGTAGAAAAGTCTGCAGTCTCCATACTGAATCTAAATGAGAATTAGGTATCTTACCTTCACCAGTAGCACCTCCATGGCATCTGAACACAGCTAGCAAGGTAACTTAAATCTGTGAAGCATAAAGTCAGCAGTTCGAAACTACCAGCTGTTCCAAGGGAGAAAGGTTTTCTGCGCCCGTAAAGATTTACTGCCTCGGAAACCCTGTACAGGGTCGCTATGAGTCGGAACCGACTCCACGGCACATAACAACAACAACAACCTCTCTCCATACATTTGGGCCGGGCTTAGTGTGAGATCCCATGACTTGGGAGAAAAACTTAGAAGAAATTAAGGGGGAATAAATGAACAAACCGTATCTTCCGCCACAACCTACCCACTGCTATCTATTTCTCCGCCTCTTAAAGTAAGCTTAGCAGTCCTGGAGTGGCGCTGTGTGTTACAGCGCCAGACTGCAAAGCCTTTAGAACTGCAACCCTGAACAGGGTTTCCGAGCTTGTAAATCTTTACAGGAGCGGAAAGCCTCATCTTTCTCCCCCGGAGCCGCTGGTACTTTCGAACTGCTGACCTTGACGTTTGCAGCCCGATACATAACCACTACGCTACCAGAGCTCCTTTGGCATATACCTGAACACTCAGCAAATAACTTCCAGAAATAACCAAGGAAACAAGAGTGGGACCCTAGTGAAGGTTCCTGTATAACAAGATCTAATTACGGACAAAAATAAGATTTGAAAAACCTGATCGGTTTGTTGTTTCTAGATCCTGATTTTAAAGCAAAGGCTTGGAGAGGATCCAAGATGATAGAGTAGACAGATACACTACCCAGACCATCGGCAACAAAGACCCAAGAAATCAAGTAAAACAGATATGTACAGCAATCGTGGAACCCTGAGTTTCAAAAGATAGGATAAAGAAGTATATCAAATACTGATTAGAAGACGAAACTAAATTAAGAAAAGCAAGTAGACATTCGGAGCAGTAAATTGCCAACTGGTCCAGCACAGCTGAACCGTTTTTGATTATTGCAAGCAGTATTCTGATTGCAGCAAGAACCAGATCATTGGCTCCACTTGCCTGATCAGAACTGCACTAGTACCTACACCAGTGACCAGAGAGGTGTGATTTCCCTCTTGACCTGCACAACCTCCTGGTGACCAAAAGCATGGTTCCCCACTTCCCCTCACCTGACAGCCAGTCAAGTCTCCTCACACCCCCCACCCTGCGCTGACTCTATCCCATCTCACCTGGTATTTCCACAGCCCATCTCCTTCTCTCTCCTCCTGATCCCCCCACCGGTTGTTCCACTCCTCTAGCAGCCTGAGTCACACTCCAGCAGACCAAGTAGTGTGTGCCTGCCGCCACAGATAACTACAGCTGGAGCAGGTGCTGGGCTGGGCTACCTCGCCCAGCCCTTGGCCCACTGTTCTTTTACTTTCTTCCCTCCTCCCCCTTTTTTTTCTTTTTTTTCATCTACCCCACTTTAGTTTTTTTCTTTTGTTTTTACCCCATCAGACAATGATTCTACTCAGTCATTGCTGTCATTCCAGCCTGACTGGCTGCTGGAGCCTGCGCTCTCCTCCCCTTTTATTCCTCTGGTTTTGTTTTTCCTTCCTCCTCTGCCATTTTTCTATTTTCCTTTTTCCTTATCAATTAGTAGCCATAGACTCTATTCAGTCATACCTGCCACAGTTGTGTGTTTGATGGCTGAACCATACTTGCTGTGACACTTGTTCCTTTTCTTTTTTCTCATCTCTCTTCTCCCTCTTTTATTTTCTTTCTTGCTTCCCCCCCTCACAAGTCAGGAGTCAGCAACTCTATGTTGCCATACCCATCACACCTGCCATCCCACCTACTGGGCAAGTATGAACACCTGCTGAAATTCCACAGACTAAATGACAGACTATGGCCAAGACCCCGCCCAGTCTGACCTTGGCTGCTCTCCATCATTGATCAGAGACTTGTGCCCACACTCCCATCTACTAGCAAATCCACTTGGAGACAGGTGGTGAGCAGCTCAGGGCCCTAGTAACAACAGCAGTACACCTGACCCATTGCCCAAACATATGAACACAAAACAAAAAACACGGTGAAGAAGCCAACATAAAATCAACAGCTAAGTACAATAGCACCACATTATCTCAGAGACAACTGACAATTCCAAACCACACATACAAAACCCAAAAAACCCACAGGATATAATGATACAAGTGACCAGAATACAGTGCCAGAAAATTTTCCATAGGAAGAGATGACATTGAAACTACTTGGTAAGGAAGTCAACAGAAATATATTTAGAACCCTTCAGCAGATCAAGGAAAAGATCAACACAAAGAAAAATGAAACTAAGGAATCAAGCAAAATCAGGGAACAGACAAAAATTCTAGAAGAATTAAGGAAAATAATACAAGAACAAATTGACAAAGTAAATGGAAAATTAGAAATAATACAAAAGAGCAAATAGAAATCTATATTAATATTAACATTTCAGAAATAGCACATTAAAAGGGCAAAAGAGTAGAACAAAATTGAAACAATGGAAGTCAGAATTATTGAATTTGAAAACAAATCTCTTAATAAAAATTCATTAGCGGTACAATCAGAAAAAAAGATGAATGCCTAACAAGTATGTAGGAAACTATCAAAAGGAATAACTTACATGTGATCAGAAATCCAGAACAGGAAGAGACAAAAAAAAAAATCCAAGAGAAAATTGAAAATTGTCAAAAATTTGTTGAAAGAAAACTTCCATAATATGAAAGATGAGAAGATATGCATACAAGAAACTCAACAAACACTAAGTAGGAAAAAGAATCCAAAAGAAAATCACCAAGACATGCTTAATGAAACTTCTATAACCAAAGACAAAGAAAGAATCCTGAAAGTAGTTCAGGAAAAACAAAAAGTCACCTACAAAGGAGAACCAATACAACTAAGCTCTGGTTTCCTGGCAGCAACCATGCAGGCAAAAAAAGCAATGGGATGACATATAAAACCTTGAAGGAAAAAAAAAATGTCAACCTATGATTACGTATTCAGCAAAATTGTCTCTCAAATACAAAGGTGAAATTAGCATATTTCCATATAAACAGATCAGCACTGAACTGCGAACCACAAGGTTTGTCAGTTCAAACCTACCAGCCGTCCCTTTGAATCCCTACATAGGGTTGCTATCAGTCGGAACTGACTTAGTGGCACTTAACAGCAAATAGTGGTTACGAATCGGGCTGCGAACCACAAAGTCAGCAGTTCAAAACTACCAACTGTTCTACGGGAGAAAGATGATGCTTTCTGCTCCCGTAAAGATTTACAGCCTCGGAAACGCTGGCTGTACAGGGTCGCTATGAGTCGGAACCGACTCCATGGCAAATAACAACAACAACAGCAAATATAAAGAAAACTTAAGGGAATTTGTAAAAAACAGACCAATCTTTGAGGTCTTTGGACAGGGAAACTAGCAATCACAAAGAACACCTGAGATTAAGACAGCATCACTCAGAAATTACCCAGATATGCATGTATTTTTAAAATAATAATAAATCTATAAGACTGAAAATGGGGAGCCAGTAACATCAATTTATAAATTCTGGCAACTACAAAGCAAAAAGAAAAAATGGCATCGTTCCAAAACTTTCAAATGTAGAGGAAGTCAAGGTGATTTAAAGATAGAATTGTTTTATAATTATAATATTAAATTACATGATAACGCCAAAGCAAATTAATGCCTTCTCATCAAAATAAACAAGAAAATCATAAAGATTCAGTAAAACCTGAAACAATAGCAATGAAGGAAATGTTAAGAAAACCCACAAACAAAATCGACTTAGCACAATATATGAGCAAAGAAACCATCAGAACCACAGCCAAATAAGTAAATAAACAGCAAAGACAAATAAGTAAAACTACAGCAAAATGACAGCGGTAAATTCATACCTACTGATGTTGTTGTTGGTAAGTACCATGGAGTCGGTTCATACCTACTGATAACTACACTGAACTTAAGTGGATTCAATGAGGCACTCAAGACAGAGGGTAGCAGAACAGATAAGGACACAGGACCCATCAATATATATGTGTGTGTGTATACATATACATATAGTGTTCCAACTCATTGTTGTGAAGTGCCGTCAAGTCA